TGACACACACAATATGATTACGGAGCCAAACAGCAATCTTCCCAGAGAACCCGGGAATGGCAGCGCTCCAGAGATGATTTATTATTTTCCTTACTTTGCAGACTCCTCTGAGTTTGCAGGAAGGAGGGAATGAAGGTTACTATCAGCTCGAGTGCTTTCAGGACTTTGCATTGAGGAGTAACTGCTGAGAGCTCTCTGTTCATGCAGTACCTGGCAGCCTTTGCGAGAAGCATGGTCAGTATTCAGTAACTTCATGCCAGTTCAGCTGTCAGCAGTTTGGCAGCAGGTATTTCATGTGCTATTTCACTGCTTCATCCCCTTTCTTGTCCATGATCAGATACCCATAAATAAGAAAGGTCAAGAAATAAGCAAAACAATGATGCTTCTTGCAGAGGGGTTGATCCAGCGTCAGTCCTCTTGTCCTCCCTCTGACCCACAGTTTGCAGAACCACAGGGTACCTGCTTGAGCCAAGACAAACCAAAATAGATCCCAACTCCCTGTTCTCTCAGCACTCGGCTAATAAAAGCTACAAGGAATTTCAGATCTTGCTCCAGTTTGGGCTGTTGACATAACCAGGCCAGCACGTCTGCTTTATTGACTTCCTAGCATTAACCTGATTCCTTAAAGGAATTATAGTGATAGGACTGCGTTGTCCAAATGCACTGATGTGTGTCTTTCACACTCACTGACCAGCACAGCTGAATCTGAGAGAGGAACAGTGCTCTTGAAACCATTATGTTCTTGCAAATGTAAAGGGGACAGTCAGACAGAGGACAGATTCTCCCAGGACCACTCCGAGGGCACTCAGCCTCCATTAGGCACTGGAAAACCACACAGCTTATCCCTAAGCTCCAACCAGCACAAACTCCATCAACAGCCTCTGCTCCTTGGTCCATGGTACTGCTGGTTTCTTGGCACAAATGGCCCAAGAGCTCAGTGATGATTCCCTTTGGATCTACTGCATATCTCACCTTTTTCAAGGCTGTTCCTGGTGGGGATGGGGACGCTGGTGTCTGCTCCAGTGTACTCCAGCTCTGCTGGAACATTGGAGCATCTCCATGTCCCGGGATGGAGCAGGTGGATGTGGCGCTCAGGTTTTCACAAGTACACTTTGCTGCCTACACTGCAAGGTTGCAGACACTGCCCAAGGGCCTGGAACATACTGCTGTTGTCAGGTGAAATGGAAACAGCTATAAAAAGCTTAGAAAAATACATGCTCGGAGCAAAACCAGCGTGGGGCTCAGTAGTGGGAGGGAGGTCTCGTACAGCAGCCGTGGTTTGATGTGTGCTGGCGAGCAGTGAAACAAGAGGCTGCCCCATCCACAACCACAGGCTGTTGAGAAGCAAATTAAACCAACACATTGGTGGCAAGGTAACAAAATGCATGATAATTAAACTGCCTCCATACAGATGTAAAGCTGGTGGCTCTTGCGTAGCAGGTTAGCTGGAGACCCCAAGACAGGGATGTGAATGTGAACGATGTGAACCAGCACTGTGCCCCTGAGTGGCTGAGATGGAGGGTCCTGGGGGTCAAAACCTCCTACAGAACATAGAACGGGCTGGCAGAGCTAATATTTATTGTCTTGGTGGTTTGGACAAGGGCAAGAGAGAAGCTGGGTAGCTGTTGGCCTCTGGAGAAACGTGTTTCTGCATGGATAGGGTAGCTGATTTTGAATTAATTTGGAATAGTTGTTTCGGTAATTTGGATTGATTTAAGATGCACCCAAGAATAATGCTTTCATTAGAAAACCTCCTGAGCAAAATTTAAATGCTAAATTAAAACCAGCCTCTGATAAAGCAGGGCTGACGAGCACAGCAGAGGGATCAGAGATGCACGGTCAGTATAATTTAATTCTTTTGCTTTGTTTCCCATTCCAGAATAATTCTTGTACCCATCTCCTTGGGTTGTTAACTGCCTAAGGAGCTTGCAAGTCAGCCTGGAATTCTCCAGACCGATTTGCATTGTAACCCCACCAAAAGCAGCTCTTAATCTATTTTATACAGTGCTTCACCTTCAAGAAGAAAAGCGTTTTTATTGCTTTTCATTTCTGGATCAAGCTGGAAATTCAGTTGTATCCTAAAGATACCGAGGGACTTGGAATAACAGCAAGTGATGTACGGAACAGTAGGAGAGTTATTGGTTTCCTAATGCTAGCCTTGGTTGGTTGTGGTGAGTAAACTTTTGCCTAAGCAGAGGTAATTTTTGAGTGTCTTAATAAATGGGAAAAGTTACCTTGCCACAAGCAATGGTGGAATTCCAGTGCCAGGGAAACATTCACTTATCTGGATTTCAGCATTTTCAGTGTTTAAAACAAAAAATACATATATATGTGTAGAGATTTGAGTTAAACCCCATTGTGCTTTCTAGTTTCTTGTTTGAAATGCTGGCTGGAGTTTTATGGCAAATGGTAATATTTAAGATACTCATAAAAGCTCTGAGTGTTGCTGAAGCACAAGCAGCGAACTGGCAACCACCAACTATTAAGAAGCATGTTGGAGACTTTGGCTGCTTTTTTGGCAAGGTCTGTGGGATAGGAATTGCCAGAACTCTCATTAGTAAGTAACAGGATCCTTCCAAAGATATTGAAATGACTTCTGAAGAGAGACGTATCTGAAATATTGTGTGAAAATGACAGTTTGTCAAAGCTGGAAGGGTTTATGGGGAAGTGGAGGGGGGCAGGAGGTGTTAACCACCCACTCCAGTGGTGGGAGTGAGAAGCTGGGATGACCTGAGGCCAAAAGTTTCATTTCTAGCTCAGGAGTTTCTGTGCTGTGGTGCCAAGCAGTGGGTGAGAGCTGCTGCGCGAGCCAGGGGCTGGAGCTGGCACCGTCGGTACCTTGGGACCCCAGCACCATCCCTCTGGCTCCACAAAGTGCCTCTCCAAGGAGGGGTCTGGCGGGGGCCCTGTGATGCTTGTCTGGCAGGAATTAGGTTTTTGTGCCTCTTAGCAGCAGCTCCTCTTTCTGGCAGAGGTTTTGAGTGAGCCAGTGGAGAGCGTTTGGCTTTGGGTGCTTCAATAAGGGAGTGATGGGTACCTACTGTGGGCAGATGGGTGATGTCAGAGGGCACAGGGCCTCTTTTGGGTCTGCTCTTATTGAGGTTTCAGAGTTGCATGTGAGCCTGTGATTTGACACTAAACTTAGCCTATTTTCTAGACACCTACTTTAATTAAAATCCTGCAGGAAAAACCCCAAATCAGTAATACCAGAAGTTAAAGCTTTAAGGCTTTCACAGCATGTTATAGGTCCCTTTCCAGTGAACTCTTACAAAGCCATGGTTAAACATCTCATTTTTAAAATCCTTGTCAACTCATTTATAGCACTCGTTCATCTCTAACTTCTGTGATTACAACAGATTGAGAACACTTTCAAGTCCTCAGAAGCACTCTGGTTTGTCCATCCATGTGTTCAGAAAGGAAGGGAAAGAGAACAAGACTCTCCCATCACTAATATAAAGCAACATACATGTGAATGTCCAGAAGTGTGTGCACATACAAAGATAGGTGCCATCATTATTAAACAGAAACCAGAAAACAGAGCTGTGTTTTCATGCATTTCCCTCTCATAGAGAAGATGTGAACAATCCACCCAGCACAGGTGTCCCTCTGAAGCTGCTCAGATACAGCGATGGGGATGGGAGGGTGGGAACTGACCAGTATGGGCCAGTAAGAATGTGAAACAGCAGGTTGGGGCATGCTGGGATCCAAAGCCCAGCTTCCATTTCTAACCAAGCACTTTTCCCAGGTAAGGAACTCAGCTTTTGCCATATTGAACATGCAAACTTTGCTCAGATGATAAAAAGGAGGAAAAATGGGGTCTTTTTTAGTGACTATGACAGACGTGTTCTACATCTTCACTTAATGAAGAAATTCAGGCCTGCAGTTGTCATATGTCAGATTCTGCTCCTTTCTGAGAGCTGAATTATGATTTTAATAATTGAAAAGTGCTACTGCAAGCCTGGTCATGTAGAACAAGCCCAGGGAAGTGGTTAAAATCAAAAGCAGTTTAGAGAAAAAGCGATCACCACATTACAACAATTGTCTACAACTGAATATTAAACTGTGTGAATCTCCAGTGGCAAAACTCCCTGCAAAGTAACTGTGAACTTAGTGTATTGTTCTGGTGTGTGGAATTAAGAGATTGCATTTGATCCTGACTTTGGACCCGCCTGAAGCAGCAGCCAGTGATGCCAACTTGATTTTATATAACCCCATGAGGGTGAGGGCTTGGTCATTCTGCTTACCAAGGTTTTAGTTCAGAGCAACAGAAGCTCCAATCTATAATCTCAGTAGAAACATCTGTAAGACGGAAATGAAATATAGGGGGAAAATGTGCCCTCCAGGCTACATTCCCCTTGCTTTGATATCATTATCTTTGTACCTGTCCATGGGAATGCTTCAAATTCTACTGCAACAGCATATGCATATTGTTTCTTTAAACTCGCAGCTAAACACAGACAGGAAGCCCGTATCCTGCTCAGTTAAGTACTAAACATGTCCTGGAAATCATGGAGTATTTTCAGTAGAGAGGCCCACAATATCCATTGGAAATGTATAGCTCCTGGCACGTCAAGTGAAGAAAAAATGACCAACATCACGAAGAGAGACAACACACACATCAGCAACTCTGTGTAAAACGTGTGGCTCAAATGAATGCCTGAAAACCCATAAACTCTACCTGACAGGTCCCTTGCACTCATGTTAACTTTTCTCTCCTGCAGAAGGAGTGTGAAACAGGACCTGCTACTCCACAGCCTTGCTCCTCCTGCACTCATTTCCATTGTGCCAAGCATTTGTCAAGTGGGTGTAAGTGCTTTTTCTGTTTTACACAACTTCACATAAGCATAAATTGCAGAAGTTGTAAGGCAAAGAACAAACAAGCCCTTAACAGTTCCAGCCCCTTTTCAAACATGCACCCAGGAAAAAGCTTAAGAGTAACTGAAGTCAAGCTCCTAGTACATGCTCGCCTGCTGCTCAGTGAAAGAAGAAGTAATACTCACCCCAGTGTTGTCATGGTTACAATAGTGTACCAAAAGGAAGCAGGAATACTGGTGAATTTGCTTGCTGAGGACCCTTTCTCTGCATAAAACATCACAGTTGCAAAGATGATGATTGCCATAGTGAGGGAAAAGAGGAGAAAGCCAAGCTCGGAGGCACAGCTCTTCAAAGTGTAGCCCAAGATTCTTAAGCCTTGGGAATGGCGAGAGAACTTGAAAATCCTGAAAACCCTGAAAACCCTTAATGTCACAAAGGCTCCGCTGACATCCTCGTTGTTGGTCATCACCAAGCCAATGTAGTACGGCATGATGGCCACCACGTCGATGATGCTCATCACACTTCTAATGAATCTGTAGCGACTTGGGGCCGCAAAGAGTCTCAACAGATACTCAACTGTGAAAATCATCACACAAGCTGTGTCCAAGCAAAAGAAAGCCACAGCGTATCTTTCCCCACATGGAAGCTCCTTGTTTCCAGGCACCGTGCCACAAGGGACAGTTTCCACGACATTAGTGATTACAGAGACAGCAATAAAGAAACCGGTGACATAGTAAAAGACTAAGGCTAAGGTGCTGGTGTGGGGGTTCTCGAAGGCTCGCCACATGGTCTGCCGGAAGCTCAGGGATGGCATGGACCCTTCTTGGTTGTTTTCAGAGTCATTGTCATCCATCAGCCGCTCCGCGTTCTCCCGCTTTCTGTCTTTGTACTCTTCATAGCAGCAGTCCCCAATGATTTCAGGGAGGATCCCATAGAAGGCAAGCTCTTCGTCGTAAGCAGAGATGCACTCGTACCTGGGGTAGTGCAGCTTGCCAGTTCTATAAAAATTCAAGATGCACCTAAAGACCTCAGGGTCCCGGTCAAAGAAGTACTCCTTAGTGTCTTCATTGAAGAAGAACTCCTTCTCGGTGCTACCCAGGAGAGTGTCCGGGTATCTCTCCAGTGTAGTCCTCCAGGTCTGGAAACGCCTGCCACTCACATTGAGAATGATCAGCTCATCCTGCCTCTTGTTTTTCTCCGTTGGAGCCAGTGGCATAGGACAGTTGGCCACTGGCATCCATCCTATGGCGGCTGCCCTGGCAAAGGGCAGCCATGCTGCTACTCCTGCTGCCATGATGACCCCAGGCCTTGTTACTGGAGAAGATGGTTAGGCTGCTCCTGAGACCTGTTGGAAGTCAGATCAGTTCCATCTACAACAGAGAACAGAATAAAAACACAGCACAGTCAAGAAAGGTGTCTTGCCCCATTGTGTTAAGGGTACGTACGCAAGGAGTTTAAACAAGTGGCTTGCCCATATCTCCCACTTGAAGGATGATGTTAAGGCACAGGATAATCAGCTCTTCAGGGTTATGGCATTATTATAGATTGAAATTTTGAATAGCAAATGATTCCTCATTAAAAGCATTTTAAAAGTAGCATAAACACACTAATTTATATTTGCTTCCTCACAAACAAGACTAATCCATAATTCCCCAGGTGTAAGCCTCCTGTGCTCATCAGTTAACTACAGCTGTCAAGAAAGAGCTGAGAACTCCAGTGAAATCAGCCTGCAGTTCAGCCAAGGAGCTTGTATGCCAGCAAAAGCCATGAGTGGACTGAGCTGGGTTTCCAGTCCTAGGACAGCTCAATACATAAGGGATTTTGCACTAAGAACATTTCCAGCTGAAAGAAATTGAAAAGCTCCTCTGGTTTTCATTACTTTTCTTCCATCTTTAGCTGAAGACCTGGCCTCAGCAGCAGTGTTTTGCTGGTGTCTTTTATTTAGAGATGGGTTTTACTCTTGTGAAATATTGCATCCATCCCCTGGCTCAGAGGAAAATTCAGGGTAGCGTTGCTCCAAATACCTGAGCAACAGTCAGTGTGAATCCCAGGTGTGCAAGCTGATGGATTAAGCTGCTACCTGAATACCAAGAACATCAGGATGAGGGAAGCCTCCAGAGTTGGACAGCTTTCTCCCATCAGGAAGATACCTGGATTATTTCCTAGCTAACAGAGGCAGAAGTCCTTCAGCTGAAGAACTGAAAGACTATTAGGTTGAAATATGTTCACTGCACTCTTGATTTTTAGATGAACAATACCTCAAGTTGTCCAAATCGTCAGCCAACATGCTCTTGAATTTAGAGTAGTTACTGTGGTTCTGATCTAGCCCTGAATTTTCTCTTTCTTATTGATCAGAGTTCTTGCAATATTTAAGTTCTTGTTTAACTTGTACTTACTCTCACTTCCCTTATGTTTTTCTAACTCCACCATAACATTATCTGGAGAGAAAGGTATCACAGAAGATGCGTTTGGGGCCCTATCAAAAGTCGATTTATCAATGGAAATTCCATTGATTCCACTGACTTAGGCCTTTGAAGCTTAATTGTATCCTGTTAGGCAGTTTTACTCTGAAGTTTTTAATTATATGAAAGCTGCCATTCCAGCCAGTAATGCTGCAGCATTATTGATTCCAACAGGCCATCAAAATACTGAATAAAAAATGATGGAATCAATCTGTGGTGAAAATGACTAAACTGCTCACAGAAACACTCTTCCTCTTCAAGGCACATTAACATTCATCACCTTAATGTGGAATATCTTTCTGTGCAATTTTACTATCTAAAGGACAATTGCAGTCCCTCGTGCAAGCATCTTACTGCTGCTGGAAGAGGTTTTGTAATTACGAAACGTGTAATAATCCATAGTGAGGCGTATCCCAAGGAGACACTTTGCTTATACACACAACACTGGAGCAAAGAGAATGCAGTATCTCCCTATGAAGAATTGTTCAATGTTTCTATGCAGCACTTTTTCTCTCCCCCTGAAGAGGGGATTTATTGCGTTAGAGTGCCAGACTGACAGCCCTGGAGACCAGGCTCCTCCATCTGTGCAGGGAAGAGGCTGAGCACTGCAAACTTTCTCTACACGACTTTGAAACGGTGCCCCAGTCTTTAGCTGAAAGGCAGTCTCTTGTGGCTCTGAGCAGAGCTGCTGGTTTCTTATACCAGCAGTGAAGGATCTTTGAACTTTTAGGAAACCCAGCATTAAGAACAGGGCTTGCAAAAAAAACATGTGGCAGCAAAATGAGCACCATTTTATTCATTAATCACCAAATATCTAGAGGCAAATAATCAAGAGACCAACGTAATGCATCCTGTTCCTGTTTCCTCAGCTGGTAAACTGTCTTGGCTACTTTTTCATTTCCATTAGTGACACCACCAGTCGTTCCACCAGGACTGATTGGCGATGTAGAGTGACCTGACCAGCAGCAGTGCACTGGATCCTCATCTCCCCTGATTTCTCAGAGGAGCCTCGTTAGAAACCTCTCCTGTACTTCTAGAACTTGGGTTGTAAATTCCAGGTTACCTACATTAGCTGCGGAGGCACTATAAATACTTCACATATAATTGTTCTAATAAAGCACTGGTAACTCATAAGTGACTTGCACGCTTTTAAATCAATTTTTAAAGATAAAATGGGTCCTTCCATGCTGGCAGGGTATGTAGGGAAGCTATAAATATCTTGGCTATGAAGTGGACAGGAGATTAAAACAAAAGAGAAAGAGAGAGGTATTCTTCTGGGGAAGTTTAGTTCCCATTTCTCTGTGAGCAAGAAATGCAGCTGGTTAAGGAGCATAGTGGGCACAGTTTAGTTTTCAAAGTTGTGTTAAATCTGTCCCATTTGCTTCTCAAAACACACAAGAAGAGAGTCTTTTCCAGCTATAAACTGTCTGAAGGACTGAGAGGGAGAAGACTTATGATATCCCCTGTCACAGAGGTTTTGCTTCTTGTCCACGAGTCCTTGGAGCTCCATCCCTTCCCAAAGTAAGAGATGGAAAATGAAGAGACAGATAGGGCTGGATTTGTAATTCAGAGCAGTGCAAACTAAGTAACTGGTTTATCTACAGAACCTGGAAAGAATCCTCCTTTTCTGGCATGGATTCTGGGGTTTGGTGACTGCTAACAGTCTTTTTAGGCTGCAAAGCAATTGCCCGGGCTCAGAATCTACTGTAGAGTCGACAGAGTCTTCATCTCGCTGAGCAAACAGACACAATTCAATTCTAAGCAGCATATATTTAGCTGCACACATATTTCTAATTTTAATTACCATAATTTCTGCATGTAATTTGAAAGGAACTAGTTAACAGAGGCTGGGCTCCCTGCTGATGACATTTAGAAGACCTGGTACATGAAATAAAGTAATTTGCCTCTGTCTGATTTAAGAAAGTAAGCATCTATAGAGAAAAGAATCAATTTTCTTTAGGTAATTACAAGGCCAGTGCCAAGGTGAAAGCAGATTTGATAAAGGAGCCTCTGGCGTGAGCCCCTGAACCCCTCAATGGAGTCCCAGCACCATCGAGCCCCCCCTGCCCACCCTGGCTCCCGCAGGCTGTCGGTGCTGCAGGCAGTTCGAGGGCACCAGGGATCATCCCAGTCTCCAACAAAAACCTGGCGAGGTCAGTGAAGCTCTGGAGGAAAACTTTGGGGACACAGTTCTCTCGCTTCACCTAAAGGGTCAAGGAATAACTGCTGGCTCCTTACCCTGTCAGCTCCCATGGCAGTGCCGTACTTAATAGATGTGTCTTTGTAGTCTCATGAAAGCAGGAACAGAACAAAAATCTTGAGTGTTTCCCTCTCTACAAGTAGATAGGGATGATTTAAAACACAGCCAATAAATATGCTGTGAGTTTCTTGGTGAGGCACTGTTAATGGGAGCAAAGAGCCTTGAGATCATCCATTCTCTCCTTCCCTGTCCTTGTTGGGTCAGGCTCAGGCAGCAAAGATGTATTTGCTTTAAAGCAAAATGCATCAGCCAAAGCTTCCTCTTCTCTGTCAGTCACATACTCCTTTCCCTTCACAATCACATCAGATAATAAAACTTTCCACAACATGTTCACTCCCTCAGTCCATTGGAGAGGTTTAGGAGCAAAAGCAACAGGCTTAGGATAAATGCATGCAAACTTCTGCCCTCCCTCATAGACAGCCCGAAGAGCCCCATCTTGCATCTCCAGCTCTCAGCGATGCCTTACCTGGCAGGAAAGATGCTCCCAGTGCCCAGAGTCGGGCTGAATCTGGGGAACTGGAAGGAAGGGGAAGCAGGCACTCCTCAGGATAAAAGGTGAACCTTTCTGCCTGCCTCTTGACTCCCTCTCCAAATGAAGTCAGAAGCAATCAGTAAATGTGATCATCATTGTGAAAGTATATATAGAGAGATGACTAAACAGCTTCTCCCTCATTACTGCCGCGACGGAGTCTCTCCCTGCCTCTCTCGCCTGAGCTTGCTTCGCTTTGCGCCCTCCCCTTCCAGCACGGCTCGGAGCTTTGCTCACTGCTGAACCCAGCAGCTCCGGCACCGGGTCCCGGAGATCTGCTCGGCTGGATGCAGCCAGGAGACAGGTCCAGGCTGGTCCCGGGGAGACAGGCTGTGTGTGAAGCGAGACCGAGGAACGGCGGCGTGAGCTAACAGAGACACCGGCAAATGGAGGCACCAGAGCCTACCCTGCATGCTAATGTGACAGCAGTGGCAAGGGGGGATGAAGGGGGGGAGAAGTAGAGGATGAACTTCACGGGTCCCTCCTGGAGCTCCCGGTGTGTCCCTGGCGTGTGGGGACCACGCAGATGTCCCTTCTGGGCAAGAAAATGAGCCATTCCCTCAGCATCACAAACCTACAGCCAACACCTACACCAGGCAGGAGGCAACGCTCAGGAGTAAAAATAAATAAGCCAGACCTAAACCGATCTTTCCCTGTCTCCTTTCCCAGAGCTGCCCCTTTCCCCCTCATCCTGCCATTCTTGCTTGCCATGCCCCTCAGCAGCCCATGGCAGTGCTGTCTCCACACCACCCTAGCACCATCCCTCTGTATCCACAGCCAGAAGTTGGACTCTCCCCGCTTCAAGACCTTGGCTTTCTTGCTCTTTTATCTGTTTGCCGGCGGTCCCCGTGTAGTAAATCATTATGCGCCCAAACGGGATCCAGCCAGTCCTGCCCTGCTCTGCCGGGCAGCCCCCGGCAATGGCTGATGCGCTGCCGCGATAGTTCGCGACTTCCATAAAGTAAAGCAAATACCTACATGAGAGAGCGGAGCGCGGCAGCCTCGCCATTGCCTCGCGTCCTTCCGCGGCTCCGGGCGACACTTTAATACGGGAGTTCAGGGGCTGCAGGGCTCGGGGTGGCCGTCGGACGGGGACGGGGAGGCGCCGGGGGCGGAGCGGGGTGCGGGGGACGAGCGGGCGGGGGCTCCGCTCCTGTCCCTCGCTGCCCCGGTGCCTCCTCCCCGCCCGCAGGTGACGATCCCGGGGGTCGGTGCCCCCAGCCCGAGTCCGGTCAGTGTCGTCCCCCCCCCCCCCCGGTGCCGGTCCCCTCCCGGTCCCCTCCTCACCTCCGCAGGGCGCTGCCGGCCGCGGCCGCCCGCCGAGCGCCTCCGCTGCCATGCGGCTGCCGGGAGCGCGGGCGGCGCAGAGTGCGCGGGCGCGGCGGCGATCAGCACCGCGGGCGCGGACAGCTCCGCGGGGAGGGGCCGGGCCGGGGCTCCCCTCCCACCCCACGTCTCCAGCGGGTGACCCTGGAGGGGGACGGGTCCTGGTTCAGTGCCTCAGCGTTGTCTAATCCCTCATAACTCAATGCAGTTAATGGAGGTCTAACCCCGATTCCCAAGTGCCGGGCGCCGGGTAAGCCTTCCCCAAACCAGTTTCCCCCAGCAGTGTGTGTAACCTGCACCACAGTGCCTGCGGCAAGGCAATGAGTTGCGGTTTTGCATCAGCAAACACAACCTATTGTGATCTTTACAGTGCGGATCCTAATAGCTGTACACTGGACACACGGGTAGTTTTGTGCAAAGTGAATCCCAAAACTTCTCGGAGAAACTTCCAGCGGCTGTGTGAATTTAAGCAAATCAAAGCATCCTTTATTAGATGTCCTCAGGTCTGCTTTCCCCTGGAGAGCACTTCTCCTGTCTCTGCTTGCTCCTTTCCTCTTGTGGATGCTCAGAGGAAAGCAAAACCAGAAGCAGCAGTACCAGAAGGCTTGTCCTGGTACCAGAGGTTTGTCTGTGATTTACGGTGGCATCAGTCCACAAAGCTCACAGCCTCTCCTCAGCACAGCCGTGCTCCAGCCCTGCTCCTGGCTGGCTCTGGTCTGGCTGGGACTGGGAATAGCTTTTCCCCTATGACTCGGCCCCCTTTTAACTTCCGATCTCTATTAAAAAGCTAATTTGGGAGCTCTTCTTCAATGCTCCCAATTTTGTATTTTTAAATAGAGTATGAAAGTCAAAAGCAAGCTGGCTGCAGATAGGCCAATGTGAAAACATTCCTCCTGCTCCCTCTTTCTTTTTTAAATCCCTTTCTTCTCTCTCTCTTTATGTCTCCTTTTTCTCCTTTGCTCTTTCTTTCTGCCTTCCCCTTCCTCTCTCTTTCTAGGAATGTCTCCTTCGGTTCTCCTGCACCATAGGTTTTACTAAAACTTTTGGAACAACTTTATCTCTTTCTGCTACTGAAAAGAGAACCTGCCAATGCTAAACCGAGCTGCATATGCAGAGGGACAACTGGAAGAGACGCTGCATAGTTAAATATCAATATTAAATATAGTTCACTTGATGGGGTTTTTGCTCTGTATTTATATCCTCTGCCTCTCTAGTGTGTTTTCTGTACTTGGCCTGTTCTTTACTCTGGGTGTTATCCTGCTGTAACTTTGCATCTAAATATCCCCCTGACTTCATGGCTGTGCTGCATAAGCATTCTGTAACGACGGTCGCAGTAATAACCCTAGCTTGGTTGCTTGAAATTACAGCTTGCCATAACAGTGTAGCTTTGTAGTCTGATTATGTCCTCTAGATTGTGCCAACGGTTTCCTTGCTTTGGATCCAAGCTTGTGAAAATGCCTGCAAGGATTAAAGAAAGATCATTAATATGATTATGCGAAAGAGTCAGTCCTTGTAAGCTTAAAATTGTATATGTGGTCTAAAGATTGAAACAGCCTGGAAAACACACTGCTTGGGTATATCTCAAGCAGCTCAAAACCTTGGCCAAGTCTCTTGAGCTCTATGTTCCACCTAAAGAAAGAATATAGTCATATTTACTGACAAAAATATATTATCAGGCTGTATGAACATTTCTAAATGGCTCTAGGATTCCTGAAGGACATTGGTTATACAAAAGTATAAGGAGTGAAATAGGTGTGTGTTTGTCTGTCTGTCTCCTTGTCACTCGGGTGTGGAACAGCAAATGGATGGGGTGTTTCTCCAAAGCTTCATCCATCCATCCATCCCTCCATCCAACTGTCCATGCTCCAAGAGACCTCTTGGACTTCTTAGCATGGTACGGATCATAGAATCATAGAAAAGTTGGGGTTGGAAAGGACCTTAAGATCATCCAGTTCCAACCCCCCTGCCATGGGCAGGGACACCTCACACTAAACCATTTCATCCAAGGCTCTGTCCAACCTGGCCTTGAACACCGCCAGGGATGGAGCATTCACAACCCATTCCAGTGCCTCACCACCCTGACAGTGAAGAACTTCTTCCTTAGATCCAATCTAAACTTCCCCTGTTTAAGTTTTACCCATTACCCCTTGTCCTATCACTATAGTCCCTAATGAAGAGTCTAAGGGTCAGGGGATTTATTTAGGATAAGTGGAGATTGTATTAACCCCACTTTGGGAATGCTGCAGAATTTACAGGGGAACTGTTTGCATCCTCGTGCAGTTTCAGACCCATCCATTAGAGATGTCGCTGAATGATGGACAGTCTGATCCCTGTCTGAAGCCTTTCATTACCCGTTGGCTCTTGGAAACCAGCGGGGTTGGTTCAAGGCATCTCTGATTTAGAACATGTTCATTTTTTTCCCACTCTGTGTTTGGAGATTTTCCAACCTGAAATAAAGCCACACAGGCAGCTGCATTCTGCCACTGCTTTCCAAACGGGAAGAGGAAAGAGCCATGGATGGTGTCCAGCAGCTCTGCTATCTAGCCAGCAGCTGCAACGTTTTCTGCTTCAGCTGATGTTAATGAATAAAGAAAAGATCACACATGATAGTAGAGGGAAAACACCCTTGAAGGACAGTAGTGGTGCTGAATGAGGGCTTTGATTTATTGTCCACTGTCCTCTGTCTCTCCCCGTGCATACCACAGCTCACACTTCCAGTCTTATTTCACATGGTGAGTAAAATGGTAACACTGGTTTGCAATGCTGCTCACTGCAACAGCTCATCAGGGATTGTGCTTAATTGCCCGTATTCTACCTTATCAACATCAAACATTTAAGTAATGAAAGTCTCATGTTAAACTCCTGATTACAGGTGAGACCAGGTGTGTTGCATGGGGCAGGTAAGGAAGGGCAAAGTGGAAAGCGAAGCTGGAGGGAGCAGATAGACAGGTGTGTTGGCTTGAGCAAAGCCGTGCTGCTCCATCAGTTAATAGGGAAGAGATTTAGCATGCCTGGGTACTCCATGTCTGCTTGTGCAGTTGTGCCTGTGCCTGGCCTTTATTTATGCAGAGAACATTGCCCAGAGAAGCTGTGGCTGCCCCATCCCTGGCAGTGTTCAAGGCCAGGTTGGACACAGGGGCTTGGAGCAAGCTGCTCTAGTGGAAGGGGTCCCTGCCCATGGCAGGGGTTGGAGCTGGAGGAGCTTTAAGGTCCCCCAAACCAGGCTGGGATTTTAGAAGTCCAGTTTCAGCATCCTGAATTTGCAGCTCTTTTTCACACCTGCTGTTCCCTTCGTGCATGAGGCCTGATGTGCCTCTTGCTTGTACCGTGTAAATGAGGGTTGATCTGCTGAAGACAAGGGAGTTAGGACAAAGCCATGCTAATGAGAAGGAAATCAGGATAATGGGCGAGAAGCTGTGTAAAAGCATCTGTATTCTTTGCTGCTTTGCTGTACTCTTCACTGTTAATGCTTTAGTGTTTTATGGTCCAGGACTTCTGTTGCAATGATCTGCCTCCAGCCAGTTGGGAATTTTTGCAGTTATGAGTCAAGCAAGGCTAAAAAGCTCAGAACTGAGCAAAGCACAAACTGACTGCACTGCTTTGATCTCACACACATTGGGGTGACCGCTCACCACCGAGGAATCATCGTTATCTCCTGGAGTTGGAGAGCCCAATTAAAGAAAAGGGAAAAAGGAAAGAAAACAAACCCAAACCGACCTGGACTAAACGATTAGTGTGAGGTTCCCCAGTTTGGAATGGTTACCAGCGCCAGAGTGATGCTGCAGGTTTTGCTGCTGGAGTCAACAGTATAATAAATTGTAATTGCAGGGTTTTGGTGGCTCATAACCAGTAAATCAGATCTCTGGAACTATACATTTACTGCAAATTTAAGGACTTGTACTTTCAGTTTTAAGAGTGCATTTTAAATCAAGTCAACAGCCATAAAGCAATATACAGCCTGCCTAGCTATTGTCTGGGGAATGAATCCTGCACTAGCATGATTCCTTTTTATTATTATTAGATATGGAGGCAGGGAGGAGAAATATGAGAGAGAGATTGTCCTCGTTCAGCTGACTGCTATGGAGGATATGGAGCTGCATCCAAAGCCATGGGGCTCCTCCACCCAAGACCTTTGGATACTTGGTTTTGGGCAGACTGGAGTAGAAAACAGCTGCTCCCATGCTTTGCACAGGTGAACATCAGAGTGTGGGGCGGATGCAGGGAGAGGCAGGAGCTTTGCTTTATTTCCCTTTTCCTTTTCCTAAGCTCACCTCCCTGCTGCAAGGAATTCCCTGTGTGAGAGCGTTGTGTTCCAGCATCAGTCAGGGTGGTCTGGGCTGAAAGGGAGATGATAAAAGGCTGAGGCTGCCAGCTTCTCCCTGCAGGCTCTGAGATTGCTTCCCCAGAAGTCCCTGCATGTGGGGAAAGAGCTTTCCCTCCCTTGTAGCAGAGGTACCTCTGGCCCAAGGCAGGATGAGGAGTTGGATTTACAGAGCTGTGGGATGCTTCTGGCTTGTGCTGTAAGGACCCTCCCTGCATGGTGCTGTGCTTGCTGTTGTGCTGGTGGGTTTGTGGACCTGTGCCTCTGAGGTTAGTCCCACATTTCAAAACCAGGCAGAACTTTCTATCGTTACGTTGTAGTGTTTGCAGGACTGAGGCAAGAAGTGTTAAAATGCCTGTGGGTAAAAGAAAGTAGAGAATCTGTCAGGTAGAAGGGACCCCAGGCACTGGTGGCTTCCATGTCCTTGGAGTTGCTGGCCAGCAGGAGTTTTGTCTCCCAACAGGCAGTAGGAGCCATCAGGGCTGCAATGGG